CCCAATTCCCCAGCACTGTTCCCATCCCCCAATTCCCCAATAAAAATCTTAAAAAAAAACAAACCAAAAAACTACAAAAAAAGTAAGATTCCCTTCCCCCTCAAGAAGCAATTTCTCCCACCTGGTGGCGATATCACCACATTGAGATTTCTGGTCTAGATGTGAACTTTTCCTAGTGACTAGCTCAGAAAGTTCAATAGATAATAGATTGTGTTGGAGAATGAATTGGTATCACCCCTTTGGAAAATAATTTGGCGATACCTATCACAATTTAAAATATGCATACTCTTTAACCTAGATGTTTCACTTTTACAGATATATTCACGTACATCCAAAATGCATATCATCGCTGCATTATCTGCTGTAGCAAAGTTTGCGCAGGGACTAAATATACATTTTAAAAAATGAGTTAAATAAATCATGGTGTCTATACAATGGAATGTTATGCAGCCATCAAGAAGAATGAACCAGCTTTACGAATACATATCCTGATATGGAACCATTATTGTTTTAATAATGGAACCATTTCTAAGATATATTGTTAAGTGAAAAAGAAAGACACAGATTGATAAGTAGAATATGATATGGTTTGTGATGTAACAGTTGTAGATACATGCATGCTTATATATGTACAAGTTACCTGTGGAAGGATCCAGAAGAAATTCAGGAGAGGAAAACGGGACCTGTGAGACGGGTGAGGATGTAATTACCACTCATTATACCCTTTGGAACCCTTTGAGATTTGCTCCATGTACATACACAGTTGACCCTTGAACAACACGAGTTTGAACTGCATGGGTTCATTTATATGCGGATTTTTTTCAATAAATACCTGTACTGCTTTCAATCTGTGGTTGGGAGTTCACAGATGTGGAAGTCCAACTCTATGCATTGATCTACACTGTTTTATATAGGAGACTTGAGCATCCTCAGACTTTGGTATCTGTGGGGGTCCTGTGGATACCGAGGGGCAACTTAAATTTTGGGGGAGTCAAAAGGTAGATGTAAATTTTCGACTGTGCTGGGGATCAGCGCCCCTAATCCCCATGTGGTTCAAGGGCCAACTGTATTACCTATTTAAAAAAATAAACACAAAGCAAAAAGAAAGCCCAGCCAGGCCAAACGGCGCTCCCACCCATCTTCTCTAATCTGCTCGACTCATCTTCTCTGGCCCCTTGGATCCTTACCTTGTTTCTCTCTTGACTCCCAATACAGCTGTTTGTCTTAACAGCTCCTTTCAGACAGGCTCCTCTGGCTTCTATCACTGATGCCTTCTCTTGGGCATGATGCCATGAACACTCTCTGGCTCTGTGGAGCTCAGCTTGCTGGAGCCTGCCAACTCCTGGCCAGGCCAGCCAGGTCACTAGGCAGCATGCCCCCTGGCTGCAGACACTGCCTGGGTACAAGGTGGGAATGGTCTATTTGGGTGGTTGTGCAATGTATCGATGTACTAGTGGGACTGCCTCTGTTGACATTTTACCTTTGGCCTCAGAACATCTTAGTTCTTTCATTTACTTGTTTCTTCATTGGTTGATTGTTAGTTCGTTCATTCATTCATTCATTCATTCATTCATTCATTCATTCACTCAATGTTTCTGAACCAGAGAAACAGAAGCTGTGGTGCAATGGGATTAATATTAGGGGTGTGCTTGGAGATTTCATATCTTTACTCTCCTTTCCCCCAACCCCATAGATAATTTAGAGTTTATTATATCCTGATAGCATCAGACTTTATTATTAACCAACTGAACATGTTGCATAAACAGTGGCAACTTCTGGGAGTTACCTTCAAATGACCTTCCTTTTACCCTCACCGGAAAGGATCTACAAGGTATAACAAAGAGACATTTAGTTTAATGATATTTGCAGATGAGCCTTATTTGCTTTAGCTGATTTTTTTTTTTTAACCGGGGAAATCCTTATTATTGAGGCTTTTCAGTGTTCCAGTTCTCCCAGAGGGTGTCTTGGGGAGAATAAGGAATGTCTATAGGCAATCAACCACTTTCTATTTTCAGCCTCCAGGGAACTTGGGTGAGGCTAGAAGTGCTGCTAGGAACCTCATCAATATTGAAAATGCCTTGGACTCGATTAAGCTTTGGAAATGCCTCCATTGAAATACATTGTTCAAGTATTTATTGAACATCTGCCTCAGACATGGTAAACTAACCTCAGAAAGTCACCTTTGCCTAAGGCCTGAGGAGGGAAGGTGCATGAGGACACTGGGTGGGAAAAGGAAATTCCTTATGGGTGACTAAAGAATGGACTGGCTCAGCTCCAACTCAAAAAGGATCCAGGGGGAAAAGCCATCAGGTCCCAGAATAGTGCTAGAGTTTATGGTCCCTGTTATCAGCAGGGTAATCTGACCTGAATGGGCATCCAAGCAGTAAGGAAGCCTATAGAGAGGCAGCCGGAATGGTCCTCAGGAACACAATGACTTTCATTAAGTGGAGGCACCATCTTGAATAATGCCACAGGGAAAACTACNCCTGGCTTGGCAGTCACAGCACCATTTTCTTGCTACTCAATTGGTCTCAGCAGTCATAGAGCCAGTCCTGACCCAGGGGGAGGGGCACACGCTCCACCTCGTTATGGGCCAGCACTAGGCACTGACAGGGAAGGGCGAAGTTGTTTGGGAACACCTGGGGACTTGCTGTCATACTTGCCTCACCCACAGAGATTGTTATTCTGCTTGTCTAAGGTATGACTTCAGGTTCTGCATATTTCACGAATATCCCCAGGAGCTGTACTTGGAAGGACATGTCCCGAGGGCGCTTTCATAAGATCTTGGAGATCTTTTGTCGGTGTTGCCTCTAGCAGTTAATTCTAGAAAGAAATTTAGGAAGATGCAAAAGGAAGATTTTATTTTTTTCTGGATTTTAACCATTGTTACCCCCCATGATTGTGTTTAATTAAAGAATGGTTACACAGTCATGATTGCTTTTGCTCGTGTCAGCAAGCATCGGCCGGGGATGGGAGCCAGGTTCCAGAGAGTTAAGAGTGAGCTGTGAGCTGTGTGTGAGGCAGACTCTAAAGCGTGTGAAACCACAGCAGAGCGCAGGAGGAGGCTGTGTGTGCATGTGTGTGTGTACGTGTGTGTGTGCACCTGTGCATGCATGGGTGAGCGTGTGCGTGCCGAGTGTGGCCTGCTGTGCTGGAGCTAGCCTGCGTGGTTGGAATCCAGCTCAGCCACTTCTCCAGCTGTGTGACCTACGGAGATTCCTAACATATAAAATGTAAAATGGAGCAAGCACAACACATTCATATGGTTCTGGTGAGGACTAAATAAGCCAGCATCTGTAAAGCATTTAGAACAACACCTGGATGGCACACGGCAAGTGCTAAACAGCGCTGTATATATTTCTACAGAATCATTTGTGGTTTAGTTTTGTACCTCAGTAATCCCATCTTTACCTCTACGTCTACCTATATCTCTCTCTCTCCAGGGAAGTGAAAAAAAGAACTGATGAGGATGACAGCAGATCCATCACCAATCTGACTGGGAGCTCCAAACAGTCAGCCCACATGAAGAATTGTTGCAAGGGTTAAACCCGAAACATCCTTGGCCTGTGAAGCCTTCACTTCCGGAATACAGGATGAGTGTGACATGTTGGCCGCTTACACAGAGGCGTGCAGCCTGTGGACACTGTCATATGGAGAGTTACACATGGGAAGTCTGAACTGTGTTCTCAGTCCTTCCAGAACCTCACCTCTTCTTTGCTACGTTTCCATGAATGATTTGAGTCCTCTGGTTCAATATACTTGTCATGCTCTTACAGAGTCTTAAAAGATAACATGTAAATGTTTTTTAAGTGATGAAAAAAAATCACATGCTCAGATAAGAGCTATAGAAGAAACTCAGTGATATAATTAGATTCATGTGGTAGCCGACTTCGTAGATAATCTATGACAACATTTCCCTCACATACTCAATGCTAGAGTAGTAGTATAATAAAAGGGGGTTTTGCTGTTAACCAGCCTTGTGGTCTCGGACATGTCAACAGCCCACGTTACATCTGTTTCCTCGTCTGTAGAAGAAGGCACCTTGGCCTTG